CGGACGCTTAACCGACTGCGCCACCCAGGCGCCCCTAGAACCACTGTTCTATTGGTGAATTTATTTGTGGCTTTTCCTTTGCATAATATGTTTATGCATACATATGTTTTTACAAATTTAGATTCTTACTATGTAAGCAGCTTTGCATCTTTTTTTAAAAAAAACCAAACCTATAACTAGGGGCTTTTCCTGAGTTACTGAATGTTTTTGAACATGTAGTTCAAAAAAACCCCTAAACAACACCACAGAGGTACCTTTTTTTTTTTAATTTATTTTTTCACTTACATCCAAGTTTAGCATATAGTAAAAAATGATTTCAGGAGTAGATTCCTTAGTGACCCTTACCCATTTGCCCATCCTCCCCCCCACCCCGCCACGATCCCTCCAACAACCCTCTGTTCTCCATATTTAAGAGTCTCTTATGTTTTGTCCCCCTCCCTGTTTTTATATTTTTTTTGCTTCCCTTCCCTTATATTCATCTGTTTTGTATCTTAAAATCCTCATATGAGTGAGGATGTCTTTCTCTGACTGATTTTGCTTAGCATAATACCCTCTAGTTCCACCCACATAGTTGCAAATGGAAAGATTTCATTCTTTTTTATTGTTGAGTAATACTCCATTGTGTGTGTGTGTCTCTGTGTGTGTATGTGTATATATATATACCACATCTTCTTTATCCATTCATCCATCGATGGACATTTGGGCTCCTTCCATACTTTGGCAACTGTTGATAGTGCTGCTATAAACATGGGGGTGCATGTGTCCCTTTGAAACAGCACACCTGTATCTATTGGATAAATACCTAGTAGTGCAATTGCTGGGATGTAGGGTAGTTCTATTTTTAATTTTTGAGGAACTTCCATACTGTTTTCCGGAGTGGCTGCACCAGCTTGCATTCCCACCAACAATGCAAAAGAGATCCTCTTTCTCCGCATCCTTGCCAACATCTGTTGTTGCCTGAGTTGTTAACGTTAGCCACTCTGACAGGTGTGAGGTGCTCTCTCATTGTTGTTTTGATTTGTAT